CCCAATAAAAAATTTTCAAAAATAAAATTTTCTTTTTTTAAAAAAAAAAAAAAAAAAAAAATCATTGTGAGATTATGCTGCTGCAAAGACAGATTAAATGACTTTAAGGCCTTTTTAAACATTTTTATCACAGGCTGTCAATAAATCTGTCCAGCTCTGCGTTTAACAACATTTAGCTGCATCATTCATTGTACTGTGCCTTTTGGCCACATTTCCTGCTGCGCTCCCTTGTTTTTAAGAAGACGAGCACAAAATATTGCTTGCCTATTTTGTTTTTCACTGAACAAGCGGCTCCAGAAGCAGGAAGTGGGAGTTTATATTTCCTTCCCATGACTTCAACTAAGTAATAAGTGTAAGTTTCATATTTTACCGCTTTTCTTATTTGCGTCTTGAGACTTTGGCTGACTTCCAGATCAGCCAGGATACTGTATGTTAAGCTAATGTGAAGTTTGAGTATTTAAGCAGTCCAATATTTCCTGGGACCTCCATTTTTGTTCAAACAGAACCTTTATCTGTGTATGACTTTGTTGTCCTTGAATTGATAGAAGAGAAACATTTGCACCAGTGTAGATAAGAAAAGTAAATGACCCCTTGTAGTGAACTCCAAAAATCCATCTGAAGGGGGAATGCATTATGTTTCTGTAACAGACTTCATTAGCCAGTAATCTATTTAGCTACACTCTAAGTGTGCAAACCATGTAGCAACATGGTCATGCAGGCTGGATAATACTATAGGTGTGACTGGGCGGTAGTGGAAGTTGTTACCCAGTGACTCAGACCCACCTTCCTATTTTTATTAACTATGAGATGTTTGTTGAAGAAGCTTGAAGAAAGGAAGCGGTGTTTGGATTTTATTTAGACTACCATACAGGGAAAATATGTCAGGAAGCAAAGATTACAGCAAAGTTGATCTGTTTTACATTTGTGTAATTAGCTTAATTAGGAAATATAGGATTTCTTTTGCAAATCAAAGTGAAAAAATGAAGCCAGCATGGGATAAATGTCAAATATTAGGCTTATGATACTCAGCTATACTTATCAACTCTGGTGAATCCAATCATTTCGGGAGACTACAGGGATGCCTTGAAGGCATAAAAACCTGGATGACTTTTAATTTTCAACTTTCACTTTCAGATGAGACAGAAGTTGTCATTTTTTAACCAGAACCCTTGAAAAAGAAACAGCTTAGTCGTCACTTAAACTGGATGTTATTACGTTAGCCTCTGGTAATAAAGTAAAGAACCTTGGTGTTGTTTTTGACCACAACATATCATATAAATCAAATATTAAACAGGACTTTCTTCTTTAGACTGCAATATTCTTGCAAGTAGAATAAATTTGTTCCAGAGTGTCACTAAAAAAACATTTGTTACTTCAAAACTAGTTACAGCCTTCACCTTATCCACAATGATGCAGAAACCTCTATGAATCATGCAACAACATTCTGTTTTAGCCAAAATATTATTTTTACTTAATTGATGGTTTTCATTTAGAAATTATCAATAAAATACAGCAAATCAACAATTATGTTTGAAAACACAAAGCCTGTTTTTTTTTACTCTGACATCCTGAGCCATTAAAGTCAATATTGTCATGTATTGACAATATTGTCAATACATATTGACAATATGTATTGTCAATATGTATTGACAATACACAGTAGAAATACCCAACTGTGTATTTCATAAATACACAGTTGGGTAGTTATGAAATACCCAACTGTGCTAATTACACAGTTGGGTATTTTGTACTCATCTGCTTTCTCCCAGCTTATCCTTGGCATCTACATTTGTTTAGAGTGTTTTCTTTGTAAGAAATCAAAATTGTTTGGCAGTGAAAATAAATACACAAAATTTTGTGTATTGTTAAAATGGGAAACGGATTTCAACAAATTATATACATATTATATTGTCTACATTATTTTAGAAGAAGTTATTTTATTCCACCACTGCGTTTCTCTCGAAATAAATCGTACTGCAGTACTCCTAGTGATCAAAATCAACCGCTAGGTTTTATTCAGCCAGAGTTTTACAAATCCAGCCTTCATCAGAGCCTCCTCAATGCCCACAGTGGCTGACTCTTTGGCTTTGTGTGAATACATTATCACACGGACAGGCAGCTGTGTTCACACCGGCAGTCCCAAAGGGAACATATTGAGATTTTATATTCATGTCGACTACTTCCAAGATGATGTCAGAGTGCGAATCGTGTGTAAAAGGTCAGTGACCTTCCTCTGGATCATTACTTGATCTCTGAACTAAGCTTTCACCCCTCGTAGGTACCAGCTGAGCCCAATTTTGTTTACAAATGGATTGAGGCTAAACTACTTTGTTTTATTTACAGACAAACAGTTTACAGCTTAAAATCATGACTTTAATAAGTTTAACAATGAAGCAAATATATGTTATGAAGTTGAAAAATGTAACAAATGAAGCAGCAAAGTTACAATGACGTTCTCTGTCGCATAAAAAATAATTAACACCCTTTCAATTTATTTTTATATGCATTTTTATGGTGTTTTATGTGATTGGGAGACACAAACTAGTCTATGGTTGTGCATGTTTATATTGTTTTACAAATAAGAATCAAAAAAAAAAAAGTGTCACGTATTTCATCTCAGCTTCCTTTAATATGATACCGCTAAATAAAATCCAGAGCAAGCAATGTCTTCAGAAGTTATATATTTATCGTGTTATTAAATCTCAAATATCTCAGAGATATTTAGAACATAAGAGAAGAAACGGCATCAGGAAGACAAAGGAACAGACCAAACAGGTCAGAGACAAGGTTCATCTCAAAGTTAGGTTATAAAATAATATCTCACTGTCCACATGAAACAATGAACCGTCTATCTGAATACACTGTGGAACATGGCAATGGCATTATCATCCTGTGGGAATGTTTTTCATCATCCAGTAGCAAGAAGCTGGTGAGGGTTTATAGGGAGATAGATGTATCAGAGCACAGAGAAATCCTGGAAGAAAAGGCTGAAAAGCATGTAAGATGGGGTGGAAGTTCATCTTCTAGCAGGACCACAACTGAAAAACTAAAGCTAGACCTATAGTAGAATGACTTAGATAAAAGCATATTTATGAATTAGACTGGCCTAGTCATAGTAAATCAAATTAAGAATCTGAGGCAAAACCTAAAAATTGAAGTTTAGCACTGCTCTTCATCCAATCTGGCTGACCACGAGCAAATATTTCTATTAAACACCTACAACAAGAGGATGATAAGAATGATTTTACTCTGTATTGAATAGGGGGTCTAATAACAAAGGCACACCACACTTTTCAGATTTTCATTTGTAAAAAAAACAAAGAAAAATCATTTGAAACCTATTTAGTCTTCTCTTTTCTTACCACAAGTATTCATTATTTTGAGTTTGCCTGTCACAAATATAGTGCATGAAGCACAATGCAATTTGAGAAACTGTTAAAGGGAAGCAAAAAAAGTTTTTCGTGAGTTAATTTTGTTCTATTTTTCTTTTTGTAATAACAAAGCCTACAATGTCAGAAAAAAGTGTAAGAAGTACTTAGAAAAATTAGCGTAATTTTTACCAGCTTGCCTTTCAGAGCCTCCACAAAACCCCATTTGTTCAACGTTATGAAAGTGTCGTCACACTAATTTACTGAAACTCCATCTACCTTTCCTGAGGTGCCATGAACAGAACAGCCTGATGTCTGTAACATTAATACACATTTCGCTCTACCTCCTGTGTTTTTAAATGAAACTGCAATTATCAAATTCCTAAGACTATTAATACAATATGAAACAATTGCTGGAAGCAGAGTTTGATAGAATAGACAGTCGGATACATCTTTACATACAGTATAAAACAAATTAAAAAAATATATATATATACACACACACACACACACACACACACACATGTATAGAGAGAGAGAGCACAATGATGTGCAAATTTCCACTTGTTGTGAGATTGTGCGTTTCTGGCAGAACTTTACTGCCAATTACCCAAACCGTCCGATGTGACACTAACCCTAACAGTGCAGCCACTCTGTGCATCTGCTCTTCTGTTGGTGGTCGATATCTAATTAAAACAGCAGACATGTCTGTGCGTGTGTGTGTTTTCGTGTGTGCATTGACGATGTGTGATTTATAGTTCAGTTTCCTCCTCATTTTAAGAGTGAGGTTAAAACTAAAGGTCACCTCAGCTGGTATCCCGAGGGTCTGTGTCGGTGACCCTTCAACACGCCACACATACAAATGGATTCATGGAGAAACACAGAAATACAAACACAGAATAAGTAATGAGTGTTTCAATGTGAGCTCTTTGGAAAAATCTGTTCTTTCCTCTTTTACCACACAGCACTTACGGACACAGCTCAGCGGGATCCGAGGACTTAGTCATTACAGGTTCGGCAAATATAAACACAACACACACACTCAGCGATCTTTAAGTCAGCCGAATGGAGACGAAAAGTGAAATGCTTCAATCTGAGGTTTACAGGGAAGTAGAAGTGGAGTGTTGACATTTTCTTTTCAAAAGCTGCATTGACTTTTTCATTTCATGTGACTTTGATTATTTTCCAACTCTCGTACACTTCCTCTCATCTTCCATATTTAATATCATTGCCTCTCTCTTCCGAGCCTTTCTGATTTATTACCACAAAAAATTGTCTCTTCTCCCTTTCTTCCCTCTCATCATATTTTATTATTACTGTGAGTGTTTCTTTCACTGAATTTCATCTCTTTGTCGTCCCCTCTCATAAATGAATATTGCGGGCCTCTTGGTGGGGGACTGACACCCCCCTGCATCCCATCACGTCTGCTGGGAAGACAGACAAAACCATCTGTCCTCAAGTCACACAAGAACAGACTTCTTGTCGACTAGTGTGCACACAGGGCTGATTCCAATATGTTGTAAAAATGCATGAACATAGACAAAAAGCAGATGGCGTGACGGTAAAGTGTGTTCAGGATGAAGATTAGAGCTATTGTCCCCACCTGCCAGCACACCACACACGTAGATCAGTCCAATCCTCAGGGCACC